TTTCAAGTTTGCCAAAAGTTTTTAACTTCAAAGACAGCGTCAAACTTTATGTCGCTTAACTAATAGAAACCAAATTATGTTCACAGAGTGTTGTGGGACAACACAATCAAGTCTTTGCCGCAAAAGATATTTCATCATCTAACAGGATTAGAAGAACTGTAAGCGACGTTTAAATCAGAAGCATATAACTTAGACTACTGGCTTCTTTGCTTCTGGATTAATTTATAGTAAACGCTGATAGATGGCGAAATATGCCATCCATAATAATATTCATAAATTGTTTTCGACGCTCTTGGATATGGACCGTGCACCCTCAGAGGGATCAGGATTCTATTCCCAGTCGCTACTCGGGACTTATGTCGGCGTCTTGGGAGTCAGAAACATGAGTCATTCCTCTTCGTCTGTGCTTTGACTGCTTCTTGGCAGAGTGACGGAATATTGGCTCGTCGGCCGCCGCATGAATGGCATCGGAGAAAACGGATGAAGTTCGAGCTTCTTGTGCTCCTTCACAGCACTTGGCAGGTTGAGCGTTCCTTGTTGCTTGAGGAAACTGCGTAACTCTTGGCAGTTTATCTCCAGTAGACTTGTCAGCACCTGCCACTCGTTCTCGTCTATTCATTGCTCCATTCGTTTGTTCTGATCGGCTTTATCATTCTCCATGTTAGTCTAACACGGATTTCAAAAGGCTCTAACACATTATAATAATTGTTATAATTATTGTTTTAGATTTTTTATATACTAGTAGTAGTATAGTGGTAGTAGTGGTAGTTGTGGTAGATACGGACGTTAAAACCCGGTAAACATATTGATACCTGAGGCAATTTCAGTCACTTGGCGGAGAATTCTTGGTTACCAGTATTAGAAAATAAATTTACTCATTTATGCATGCTATATAATTTAAGTCTGGTGGAAACGCTCAGAGTCAGATGAACTCAGTTGTAATGATGGCAAAAAAGGTTGATGCGATTCACTGGATTATATGCGAAGAAATCGTCCCCTCTTTACCAAAGAAATAGGAGGAACCGGTAATTGAGGGAAACGATCATATCTATCAAATAGTTCATCTATCTATCTATCTATCTATCTATCTATCTATCTATCTATCTATCTATCTATCTATCTATCTATCTATCTTTCAATCCATCCAATTCTAAAATCTGCTTTGATGGATAAATCTTTGTCAGTTGGATAGTGCAGTACGTTTTTTCATCACTTATTCACTCGATAACGATTCATCCCTTGGATAGCGTTATCCGCCCTTTGAATAAGTGGGGAAGACGATATCTGATTTTGATTTTTGAGATCCGCGCTAACTCAGCTGTTCGAAGCAACGCAATTTCCTCGTCCCGTTGCCTTATTTGTGAGAAACAGCGTTGTAGTTTTCAAAACAAAATATGACACAAGTTCTTAATAGGGCAATAGGCCGTCGGTAAATACGATTTTTAAGTCGCCAAAAAAAAGAGCTGTGAATTAGCCTTAACATTACAAAGTTAAGTAAAATTTGCCTCAGGAAGATTTTTCTTGTTAAATAGTGATCCACAGGAAATGGTGAGTGAATGATTAGAAAAAGCACATGGTTGCTGTAGACGGGCTTGGGGAGCTTTCTTGCGCTCTTTTATTTTTAATTTTACCTATAGACGATAACAGGAGACGATAAACTCTTTGCTTATCCAGTCCACATAAAGCGGAGCTCTATGGGATTTTGATATACCTCTAAAAAGGCATGTCATACTGAATGCGACTTTGATAATTTGATTTATTCAATTCCCTTCCTGTTTCAGTGACTTGGATGGCAATAGACTGGTTACATTGCAACCAAGAATATTTGACACCCTTGCCAATCTAGAACGGCTGTAAGTACATTTGCATTTGAAAAGAGTCAGATAATTTTTCACACTTAAATCCAAGTTCTTTTGCTGTTTGGAGC